ACCCTAGAGCAGCCAGTGAGATAAGACACGAAGCTGACTGCTTAATTGGCATTTAGTGGCTGGTAAGTTACATGGTGGGTTCTTGGTCTTAATAGTTCCTTAATCTTCATTTACTGGAGTGAATAAATAAGTTACCTGTCATAGGGTTCCACTGAACTGAAACTTTCTGGGTCCCAGGCCAGGCAACTCGTCACTGAGCTTTTCATTCTGCTGGCCATTTATTTCTGTATAACTTGAACATTTAATCTCGTGATTAGGAAGGATTTTTGTCCTGTCCTGAGAATATCCATGGATGTTGAAACCACTAGGGCAACGCTCCTGTTCACTTGATTGATTTCTGTGTATTCCACTTGCCTGCACCGAGGCACACTTTCTGGTTCCGCATCACCGCCCCGGGTGGGTTTTATGACTCAGCCCTGGGGACTCTTAAATGACCCTTCAGTAATTATTACACACTGGAAGCCCCTACCTCCTGTTCCGGTGCTATCAACAATCACATCAAACCCCAAAATAAACATATGATTTCAAGCATTAATTAGAAAATCTGCATGTTTTCAATAAAGCTAGGAAGCAAGCATACAGCAGTTAGTTACCCCAGTCAAACAAGGGGGAAAGAAAGTGCTAAGGGACAGAGCCTCCCTTATTCTGGCTAAGGAACGCTACTGCAGTGTGGTGGCCCACTGTCATTGACAATACTTTTTTTTTTTTTTTTTTAATGAGAGAGACACTTTCCTTGAGTAGAATTGCAAAGCCTTCAAAACTTTAAATACGATGTTGAGAGTAGACTCCTGTCCTGGCAAATGGACTTGAGAATGATCAGGAAGTGACCAGTAATAGAAGATCTGGGTCCAGAAACCTGTGATCCTGCGCTCCCGTTATTTAAATCTGTGGGAAGGCTCAGCCTGTGCCTCCACACCACACCAACCAACCGGACACCAACAATTCCCTCCTCCACCAACACGGAAGAAGCAAATGGCTTTGCTTTTCACAGCATGACTCCCTTCATTCGAAAGTGCCTCCCAAACAATCTACTGGGAACGAAATACTCCAAGAACTTTACCTGCCCCCCGCCCCACCCCCACCCCACCCCCGCGCTTTGGTCTTTATAGACATACATTTTTAATCTGACGTCATTTGTCATTAATTTTAGAAAAGAGCATGAGCTTATCCACAAAACGGGCTCAAGAAAAACTTCTGACACTTGCATTTTCTGAAAATCAAAAAAAAAAAAAAAGGCTGATTTTTTTTTTTTTCACACATTGAAGAAATGTGAAGGGAATATAGGCTGCCAGCCATCCGGTGCCGGATTTCTCTGTTTCATCCCTGTGATTGTTGCAAACCTCCCGTGCTTATTTAAGATTTTATTTTTAAAGGGGGGAGAAGTCCGGTGAAAGTGTGTCTCCAGTCCCAATCAAAACATCAGTTTGGCAATCTGGCCTCTTTCCCCCTGCGCTCGCTCCCGCACGGCCACTTCAAAGCCACGGCAACAAGTCGGTAATTGTAACGTTACATCTAAATATTTAAGCGGAAAGTCTTGCCGTCGCGTGTCCCATCTACAGTCCCCGTCTGTCCGGTAATTCCATTACGGCACAAAGCAAAAATGTTGCCCAAAACTCACAAACAGGAAAAGCGTCACCCTGCTGAGAGAAAGGGAGGGGGGTTGGGAGGAGGAGGAAGAGGAGGATGAGGCAGAGGGTGGGGGGGGGGGGAAGAAGGAGGGGAGGAGGAGAAGGAGGAGAGGATGATGAAGGAGCAGTTTCATCGATTAGTCACCGCTTTTGTGTTAAGGGCTTTCTTTAAAATAAGAAAAAAAAAATGGGGGGAGGTTGCAGAAATTTCACTAATGTGAGCCTCAGGCTAGGGAGGGAGGAAAAAAAAAAAAAAAAAGAGAAGAAGGGGGAGGCGGGCTGTGTCTAGATGAAAGTGAGAGGACATAAAGGAGGCAATTGAGTCGGCTGCAGCCCGGCGAGCTAAGCTGCGGGCCGGCCGGAGCGGGGAGGGGCGGCGCGGCGCTTTGGCGCAGGGCGCAGCAGCGGGGGCCCGGGCTATTGTGGCGGCGCCCGCGGGCCCGCTCTGCTGAGCCGGGGGAGGAACAGAGGCGCCCATTGAGCTGCCGCAGCCCGGGGTGCCTGAGCTCGGACTCCGCAGGTCCGGCTGCGCCTGCTCCGTGTCCGCACTTCTGGCCAAGGACCGGGGTGGAAGGTCCCCGGGCCGCTCACCCTTCTTTCACCAATATCCTGGAGCAGGAAGGATGGACTCAGCAGGGGTACAGAGAACCTAGGGTTCCCTGGGAGCGCAGGGCTGGATGCACCGCTGCACGGGCTGGGCAGCTCTTGGATTGGAGGAGGGAGAAGGAAACTTGGGGAAGGCCAAAGGAACCGTTTAGAAAAAGGGACAAGCAAGATCTTGAACAAAAGAGCGTGGCTCTGACCTCTGTCTGGGTGCCTTTCTCCCCGCATCCAAGCGTCTGCCAAGCAGACCCCAAGCCAAATTTGTGTCCAGGAAAGTCAGTCTCAGCAGCAGGTACCAGGCCCATCTGGCAAGGGCACTCAGCAGTGGTGGGGACAACCGAAAGGCCCTCCTCCGCCAGTTTTTCCCTCCCGTTTGCCAGGACTCAGAGAGCCCTTTCTCAACATCCATTCTATTTTACAAGTGGGACCGCCGGAGACTTTTGATGCCCAAACAACAGAGGGGAATATTTGAGGTTTCTAGACTTCAAACTGCATCTCACTCTATCCTTTCTCTGGGCCCCTCTTGCCCTCCAGGGTTCATCCGGAAAGGAAGCTGGAGGCACTGAAGGGACCCAGGCTGCATCTTCCTTGACAACCCCAAATTAAATTAGACTTCAGCCTCTGAGGGAGGGGTGTGTGGTGTGTGTGTGTGTGTGTGTGTGTGTGTGTGTGTGTGTGTGTGTGTTTCAAGGACACAGCCCCCACTGGGGGAAACACTCTGATTTTTAAAAATGGTAGCAATTTCCCTTGAATGGCAGCCGGCCCAGCGAGGCGACCCAAAAGACTAGAAACATTTTGTAGGTGAAATGGCCACTTTTTCCACGCTGGAGAGTCCATAAAACTTCCTGGCTGAGCAGCTACTGCGGCTCATTGAATAATTCATCCCTCATTGCAAGCCCATAATGTCTATTCTGGGCCCTTTGTGGGGCTGTTTTCTCTTCTTTTCTCCTTGAATTATAAAAAGGCTGCCTTCCTTTGTTCACATCAAGCTGCTCGGAGCTGGAGCTTTGTCTGGGCCAAGCTAAAGTGTGAGTTTCAATGGACTCTCCAGGCTTTGTCTCCCAAGTTCATCTCCAAGTGTAGATTGTGTAGAGAAGGCCTTCTTTGTAAACGCTGGAAAAGTTGTACAAATGTTTGACCAGCTCATTTGGGACGTTTTGTCTCCAGGGCCTTGGTTGTTGCGGCTGGGCTGCGAGGGAGCGAGGGAGCGGCTGGTCTGCCTGGCTGCCACTTCTAGCAACAAGTAGCAACACCGTGGATCCCCCCCCCCCCCAGCAAGGCCTCTCCCATAACTAGAGGACCTACTAGCCTCTGCTTTAGGATCCCATTGGGCCTGGGAGAAGTCTGGGTCCTCAGCCCTCTGCCTTCTTTTAACCCAGCACCTCTAGCCTGCAGCTAGGGATGGAATATAAACCAGAGGTGACCAGAAAAGCATTTGTTCGGGCTTACACAGACTTCACACGGGGGCCCCTGCTGTAAACACAGAAGTAACAGCGTGTGCCATCTCCCTGATCAACCTCCTTCTATTTGGGGTGCCTTCTCTTGATTATATGGGTGCCCTAAAGCATCTGGGCTTCTGGTTCATTAGAAGTCAGGCACTTGGTTGCTAACACCCAACTCTAAATATCGAGGGTACAGCTTTTGTATTGGTTTGCAAAGCAGCTTTCCTGGAAGGCCAGCAGTTGTCTCAAGGATACACAATGAAGGTTTAAAAAGAGAGAGAGAGGGAGAGAGAGAGAGAGAGAGAGAGAGAGAGAGAGAGAGAGAGAGAGAGAGAGAGAGAGCAATCTGTATGCTAGAGCCATCTTCTAGATCATCTCAGAAAGCCCTGGTAGAAAGGGTTTCTTTCTTTCTGTAAACCTTTATTTTTGAAGATAACTCCAAGCAGGTAATAGGGGAGCAGCCTGTAATTCTCCATCCCCTGGAGGGAAATTTTTCTTTTTGGTGCTGACAGGTCGCAGCCAACAAGGAGTGGGTGGTCTGTACCCCTGGGGGGACAGAGGGTGATGGCCGGCACTGGGGGGGCTCAAGAACACAGATCCCTTTGACCCAGATCCCTATAACCCACTACTTGGGCACCATCGGTTGCCAGACACATGCAGGTTATACTTCATCCCACTTGAAAACAAATGAAAAGTAGCCAGCTTATGTACACACGTGCGCAAACACACGCGTGTATAAGGCAGCAGAGGTGGGACAATTTTAGGCTCCCAGTGTCCAGAAGAATCACAGTCTCATTAATTCTCGCCCACACGCACAGTAGCACAGTAGTTCCCAGAGTGTAAAAACTACTTCAAGATCCTCAGACTTCATTAACTACTCCCCTATTCTCAGCCCATATAATTTTTTTTTTCAGAGAAGTTTAGTTTCCATCTGGAAAGTGTCCACCTGCAACGCATTTCAGATTTCTCTACTCCAAGAAACTAGACAGGGTGGAGAATAAAACTCACGATAACGTAAAGAGTTAGTATTATCGGAGTGTGGCTCAAGAGTACAGCCCTTGCTGGGCCTATATGAGGTCCCGGATTGGAACGCCAGGAAAAGTAAAATAAAAATTGGAATAGAGAAGGTTTTTGTTTTTGTTTTTGTTTTTAATATCAAGTACCTCTCTGGTCTTTCACTTGAATGTCCTCCCCGAGAGCCTTAGCTGTGACGGAGGCCAAAGGTAAGCTTTGAGACAAGCCAGAGCTGGTCTGCGGTTGTGCAGACCCACAAGTCTTAGAACCAGCGCCCTCTCCACGGAGCGCACGGCTCACTGGGGCCGCTTACCTCGCTCGCTCAGGATGCCGTCGATGCTGTGTTTTGCCTTTTTCTCGCTTTCCTCGGCTTCCTTCCTCTCTAGATCTGCCTCCTCCTCTTCTCCTTTTCCAAATTTACTCCTCAGGATTCGGCTGATGGAACTCACTGGGGTAAGAGGAGGAAGGGAGCGCACATGATTTAGAGGCGTCGGGGATGATCCCAAAGGAGACCTCAAGGGCCCGGCCGAGGCACTCAACCCGCTTCCTGCTCCTAGAGGCTCATTGCTGCGTCCAGCATCTATCTGGTGGCATCCGGGTCCTTGTGCATTCTCTCAGGTCTTAAAAAACCCCTCACACTTTCATGGAGTTTTAATTACTTAGACTGGAACTGGAAACTAGAAATCTCGCAGCACCTCCAATTCATAAACGAGAAATGTTACCTCTGTCCCTCTCCTAGAAGCTGTTGGCTAGTAGTCTCTGAACACCCTAAGAGACTTCTGCCACCAGCTCACCCTTCCCAGTGTTCCCTCCCCACCCGAAGACACTGGACCCCAAAATCCTGGGAAGAAGAACCACAGAGGGCCTGTCGCCTGCAAATCAACTTGTTTTGAGACTAGAAAGGGTTTAAATTTCAACTGCAGAATCATTCCCTATTGTAAAAAATCAAAAGAAAACGCACTCTCTCCGATTTATTTTTTCCAGATTCCAGTCTGGTAAACAAATCCATGCTCTGAAATATATCGTTCTTACAGAGGGGAAAAAGGAGTTTCCTTTTAATTAAAAACAAACTCTTCCCGCGCGGAGGCCCAGCACTGGTCCTTCTTCCCCTGGACCTCTCCCTAGCTGCCCGGATACTGGATGGATCCTGAAACTCCCGGGAAAATCGCGTCCTGCCCAATTTTCACCCCTTCACTGCCCCCAGCCAACTCTCCACCAGTGCGGCTTGGATCTCCCTTCAGTGGAAGTTACCAAAACATTTGTTTCTGTTTTAGAAGGAAACATCAAATACTAATACTCATTTGGCCTGTGCCCTGCGTTTCCGCCCCAGTCCCAGCCTCCTTAGTAGAAATCCGTTTGCGGGGAAACTTCAGGTCGTCCCCCAAGCCGCCACCCCGGGGACCAGCAGTTCACCCAGTGCTCCATAAAACATGAAGAATGTCTGGCTTGTAAATATTTCAGGGCAGCCTCCCAATAGCCACGATGGATGATTGGGGCGATTTTATGACTGGGCTGGCCCATTGGAGTACGAGACTGACGGTCGGTGCCTCCGGGAAAAGTTAATGGACCCAGTACCTGAGGGCACGGTGTTCCGATCACAGACAGCGTCCTTGAGTAATTTGTCTCGGATTTCCCAGCTGAACATGCCCGGGTTCTCTCTTTTGTATTCCTCAATTTTCTTCTCCACGTCAGGCGTCGTCACCTGCTTTAAGAGAAGAGGCGGGTGGTGCGTTGGTACCCAGTATTGTGAGCCAGATAGGGTGCCCCCACCTCATGGTCTGTTGGATGCTCCTTCCTGTATTCTCTGGGAATGTCCCTCTGCTTAGCCAAATGGCTTTAATTCAGTTTAGAAAGGAGCAGACAGGAAATTATCCCATTCAGGGCAGCCTGGAGATCCTCCACCTGCCTGAAGATGCTGGGGGGGGGGGGGGGGAGACCAGATGAGATTAAGAAAAAAAATTGTAAGTTTGGAGATGAGGGCTGTGCTTTCTGATCCCTAGAAACCCCACTGAATCCACACAAAAACGAAACTAAAAAGAGAATGCTTGAAAGAACCACAGAAAAATCAAATTAGGTCAGTTCCAAAGAGGTCAGATCTGAGCTACAGAAGGATTAGGTTGGGATTTCAAAGGCCTTGGTATCTCTAGGTTGTGCTGTTACTGTTGTTGTTATTGTTGTTGTTTAATTAGACAAACATAGATAACTTGAAAGAAAGACTCTTTCACCCACTGGAATAAAACTGTCTCCTAAGATTCTCAGGTTAAGAGAGAGAATGGGGAAGGAGGGGGGCTGTGTTTGGGAGTCTTCAGTGTCTGGTTTTGCCCCCCCCTGGCAACTAGAAAATCATACTGACTTCTCTGCATAACCCAAAGAGAAGGCAGGCCCTGTATAATCCCCTCCCACTCCCTAACCAGCAGGGCTTTCTTGCTTATTAAAGAAAACTAACATAATTTAAGGATCTCACCCAACTGCTTTATAAAATGGAGTCAAGAGGCTTATTATAAAGAAAACTAATAGCCCTGACTTTTGACTTCTCAAAAACAATTTGCACTGGAAGGGAGGTGTGTGTGTGTCAAAGCTGGGAAAGAAACTCTTCAAGGACCAAATTGGGATTTTTAGCTTCATTTTAGGATGGGGCAGTGGGAAGACTCTCAGGGGAAATCGGCCACGGGTGGGATTGCTTTAGGTGTTTATCAAAATACTTTGATGAGGGTTCCAAGGTTCCCAGGCATTAAAAAAAAAAAAAATGCCTAGCCGTTTTCCAGTGTTCAAGGACCACTAGCAACCATAACAACTGAGTTCTACACACACAAAAACACTCCTTCCTAGATATGAAAAATACTTCCCTTGGAAAGTCCCTAGCTCCCGGCTGGCTAGACCGTGCCCACTCCCCCACCCGCTGACCACAGGCCCCAAGTCCATGAAACCAGGCCCCAGGCTCACCTTGGGTTTGCTGCCTCCAATGGCACCGGGGCGGATGGAGCCTGTCTCCTGGTACCTGCACAGGATCTTAGAGACGCAACCGTGGGACACGCGCAGCTGGCGAGAGATGACGCAAGGCCGAATACCGTGGTGGGCCATCTCCACGATCTTGTGGCGAATATGGTTGGGCAGAGGCCTGCCGTTGATAAATACTCCTCCGAGCTGGTTGACCCGGCCCTGGCCGAGGGGGGTGGACACTGGGAAGAGAATATGCAAAGGACAGAGCCCAGGGGAAAGTCATTTAGGAAGAATAAAAAGCACCAGAAAGAACCTAATTCTGCATCCTTCCGGCCAACACCCCCCGCCCCCTGCCCGTGACAGTCCAATACCAACTACCAGGCTTTCGACTCCCAGCCCCGACCCTGACTGTTATGATTGTTTAAATAATTACCCACTGCAGGGGCATATAATCTTTTGGAAATTGAGTAATTGCAAAAAGATAACTTGCTTAGAGAAAGCTATATTTTCTCTTTTTTTGGGGGGGGGGGAGAGGGGGTGCTGCAAGTTACAGGCGGAACTAGGCTGGTGCCTAAAATGTCTTGCGGTAACTGTCACAAAATCCGGCTGAGTATGGAGCAAGCTGACAGCCTTTACTGTTTCCAGATCAGAGCGTAGTCGGCAAGGGTCGGGGAGCATCCGGAAAAGAGACACAGGTGACAGCGCGTATCACCTGTTACATCTCAGAAATAAAAACGACGGCGGCGGCGGCGAGCCTGGCTATGATTACCACAGCCGCGGTTCGTTCTCCTCTGGACCAAGGTCGAAGGACTGTGCCCTTACTTCCCAAACTGTTTGGGAGGGTTCGGGTTTGCCGTAATAGCTACCTCCCCGAAATTTCCCAGAACCTTCAAGCAAACCAAAAGGCATTCCCAAACATATTAGAAACTTCGAGATGCCTCTTGAGTCGATTGGAATTTAATTAATCCATACTAAAACTTCCAATTAGGACGGACCACCTCAGTTTTCCGCAGCAGGAAAATTCTTGCCGAACTAACAAGAGTTTGGGGATTTTTTTTGTTGTTTTTTGTTTTTTTGTTGTGTTGTTGTTGTTGTTTTCAAAAGTGGGCGCAGCCGGGACAATTTGGTAGCAACTTTGGGTGAACAGAATTTTGCTTCCGTGGCTGCGAAGCTTATCCACCTTCATCAGGACAGCAACTCCAAAACAGGGCAAAGTGGAACCGGCCCGAGCAGGCCGGGCCAGCTCTGAGGGTTTGCCGAGAGTACGGTGCTGCGTTTGCAGTCTGAAAGCGAATGGGGCTTCTCTCCCCTCCACGAGAACCCCCTCCCCACTATTGCTTCTTAGGATGGGAAGTATGGAGGAAGAGGCTCCCGGGAACGCGCGACTCCAGGCCCTGGAGACCTGGAATGGGGTGCGGCAGCCAATCCCAAGCCCCGGGATCCGGATGGGCTGAGGCCCTAACATACCTTCCAGTGGGAAGCCGCTGCGTGGGTAATTCTGCCCCGGGCCGGGCCGCATCATCCTGGGCACAGCGCCGGCCAGCGTGGTCATCCTGGGGGCAGCTTCGCTCGCAAATTATATCCAGGTGAAGGCGAGACGGAAAAGCGAGCGCAATGCGGCGGCGGGTGACCCTCGGGAACTCTCCAGATCGCGGAGAGCTCCTCCCCAAAAAAAGAAGGCAGGAGAGGGAGGCGGGGCGCGGGGGAGCGGGGGTGGGGGGGGAGAGCTGCCAGCTCCTGGTCCACCCGCTCCAGAGAAGTTCCTAGAATGAAGGATCCTAAGCCCAAGGCGGACAAGTTTGGTGCGAGTCTGGCAGACAGGCCCCTCAGCTGGGGCCACGGGCAAGGGTGCTCAAGGCGCCAGGAAGATGGGGGCGGGAGGGTGGTGATGACGAGGCGGGAGCACGGCCCGAGTCTCCTCCCGTAGTGACACCGAGTGCAGGGATCCGGACTAGGGAGCATTTATTAGTTCTTTCACCCAAAGCTTGGTCAGGAGCCCTGAGCTGCGATTGGCCGACGAGGAGACCGTCCCGGGTGGCGAAGACACGCGCTGATTGGGCGACAGAGGCTACTTTCTCTTCCCATCCCTGACGGTGCCCAGGCCTCCACCGACCCGGAGGGGGACCAGCTCTGTGCCCCTTCCCCCGAGAGAGAGAAGCGTAGACAGGTTGAAACTGGAAGAGGCAGCCTGGGTGATGAGAGCGGCTGAGGATGGAGAAGGGCTCGCTGTGTCTGTCACTCTACGTGTGCGTCCCTCTGATCTCCGGTTTACCACTCCAGTCTGCCTGTCCCAATCTTTCTGTGTCTCTCCCTGAGAGGCTCGCTCTAATCTGTCTCTTTATTCTGTCTGTCTGTCTCTGCTTTTCACCAGCGGACCTCTCTTCAGGGCTGCTAACCCGGGGGTGGGGGCGGGGAAACTCGGGGGAAAAAAGGCATAAGGAGTCCCGGATGTGTTTAGTTTTCCTTTCCCTGGTCTGCGCTGGGCCTGGGCTCGCTGTGGGAGCCTCTCCCAGCGAGCGGCTCCTCTAGGGGAGAGTCCAGGATGCTCCCAGAAGGTCCCTTTGTCTTTCTTAGTCTGAAAGAAAGGGACTGAAGGATAGGTGGGGTAGCCTTCGACATAGACAGACGTGGCAAGGCCCCCCTGGACTAGAAGTTGCAAGCTGGGATGGGGGATTCGGCTCCTTTTCTTGGTTTAAAAGCCCTTCTGGGAAGCCAGGACTCTAAATCTCACATACAGATCGATCCCTGATGCACATGCATCTATATGTTGAGGGTTTTTGCCCGGCTGAGGCGTTTGTTCTCAGGAATTTATTATGGCATTCAGACTAAACTGCTGGAAAAAAAAATAAAAGGAGCAAAGTCTTGGCTAAGAGCTGAAGTGTCCCCAGCAGGATATGACGCCAGGAGTGTTGTAAAGACTGTCTGTCCTTAGAGAAGGTACCATTGTGCATAGCCTTTTATTTATAACTTGGTAAGTGCCAGCGAACTCGTCTCCTTTACACCCCCGAGTGCCAGGCCCGCGTTCTGCACCGCTCTTTATTCCCTCGAGTCTATTCAGGGACTGTCACTCTGGGGCCGAGAGGTATTCAGGGCCTTAATCAATCAAAAGGATGAGAATCAGGCAGGTTTTTTCCCTTTGAAATAAAGGAAACAATGACTTCTGGGCTTCAAGTTCCCCCTTTTTCCTTTTATGATATTTGAATTTTTCCTGCCCCTGAGTCCTCCACCCCTCTCTCTATGGCCCTCTACGCCCATCTCCTTTGACAGTTTTGACGTGAACTCAGGCCCCCAATCCTACTTGCCCACCCCCTAATTAAGGCAAACTCAAGAGGCAAGATTGGTGGTTGCGGGGGTGGGGGTTGGGGGGTGGGGGGTACGGGTAACTGTTCAAAGTCTATGAGCTGGCCCTTTAAGAGTTCACTCCCAGTGGGAAAAGCTGGGTAGCTCTGTGCTCCCCTTCAAGTCAAAAGGCTTCCTTGACCCTGGGAGCAGGCGAGACAGGCCTCTGGGGACTCCAGAAAATGTCTGGACACCCCACCCCCACCCACCCACACTTGGGGGAGGAGCATTTGAGTTCACAGTGGAAAGCCCAGAAGCTGTGTGCCGGGAGTCCTGCTTAACCAAGTTTTATATTAAATGATTCAGTTTGTCAGGGCACACAACTTTCTCACTCCCCTTTTCGGGACTGGGGTCCTTCAAGTTCTGAGTACGTGTTTTCTAAAGCTCAGCACAGCCATAGCAACTGAGGAGCCAGACTTTCCCAAGTTTTTTTTTTTCCCCTCTCCATAGCTGAGCAGAGCCGGGTTTTGCTCTCTGTAAGGTCAGCTTTAATCCGCGGGAGGATGAGGGACCCAAGGTGAACTTCAAGAGGGTATAAATTCAGGCTGCACACTCCATGAAAAGGGATCCCTCCTTGAGGGTTAGAGCCCTCTGGGGCCGAGTCTCCTCTGTTTTTTTAGTTCAAGGCTTTAGTGGTATGCTTCAGTTCTCCAGAGGGGCTGATCCTGCTGGAGAGCCAGGAATGGTAACTTGTTTGTAATAAGTCGCTGCAGATTCCTTTCTGGGTTCGGAGAGTCCTCTGGGACACTTCCACGGAAGTATTGCCAGCTGAACAGCTCATGGATGCCAGTTCAACAGCACCTTCATAGTACTTCAATAGTACTTACCACCTGCTAGGAAAATGGATACTCAGAGGCAGAGGAGATGAGGTAGGGGTAGGGGCAATGACTGAGTTCCTTTCCTCCCGTGCCCAGCAACTCTCCATTTCACATGCTAAACTAAAGGATAAGGCCAACTCATCTCTGCCCAGAAGGCCCCAGAGGTCCTGGGGGCACTGAGTGGATGCAGCAGCTAGACCATTTCTAAAACTCCATGGTGAAGGCCCAGGTGGTGGGGGACATTGGCTGAGGATCTTCTGACCGTGGCACCTACCCTGCCAAACCAAACCAGGTAAACCAGACTTGGAAGAAGCCCACAACAAGTTACCACCATGGGGTCTGGCAATTCCTGGTTCCCAGACGTTTAGAAGGCTTGACTTCTCTCTCTCTCTCTCTCTCTCTCTCTCTCTCTCTCTCTCTCTCTCTCTCTCTCTCTCTCTCCCCCCTTTATCCCCAGTGTGGCTGGAAGCTGAAACCACCCATCCCTACAACCTGTGTCAAGAGTCTCCACCCACAGCGCTTGCCTCAGCTAGCAGCCGCTGGGCTACCAAGTCCAGGTGCTCAATATGGCCATGGTACAGCCACTAATTAGACAAATGAGTGCCAGCGGTAGCTCTAGGAGGGAGAACCCAGGTTTGGACAACAGCGCTATACCTCACCTCAGGGGCATGGTCAACCTCCAGTGTGTCCAGGGAAGTGCCTGCAACAATCCTGGGAACGATCCTGGCATCCAACCCTGCCATTCACATATTTGTAAAATGACATTTGAGTCTTGAGGACAAAAATAGTATAATCTAACCCTTGCAACATGTGGGGATGAAGAAGGGAACGGAACGTTGTGGTTGACTCCTGTATCCTCCCTCTACACACACACACACACACACACACACACACACACACACACACACACATACACACACACACTTTAGAGATGTTTCGGGTAACATAGGTTAGACTGACAGTTCAAGCCTGAGTGGACTATGCGTAGTTCTTAGTTCCGCTAGCGGGTGTGGATCCGGGAATCTACATCCCAAAGGCCTGGAGTGGCTTCTGCCCAGGCTTGGCAACCCTTTCCTCTAGGCAGCCTCCTCATTTGGGGGCCACGGCCTGGAGGGAGGGGTTGTCCATGCAGGAGCTTCCCCAGGCCTCCCAGAGATGATCTAGGATTCTAGGAGGAGGAAAGTCTTAACCCAGAATTATAATCTATGTAAAATAATGTTAGAGAGAGAGAGAGAGAGAGGAGGAAACTGGTGGTGAAGGCCTCCGGGGATCTTTCTGCTGGGTCTGGTGGGACAGTCGCTGAGGCAGGGACCGGCCCACGAGGGTGGGGAGGTAGAGGTTTACTTTACTGCACCGCTGGGCGGCAGGATACAGTGGGACAACCGCCGAGGAACCCACAGTCCTACGACAAGGAGTCAAATAAAACTCTAGATTCCGGGTCACGGGCTTCCTGACCAGCAGTGTTACCTACTGGCGAACGCGTGGGTTTAAATCCGCGCAGCAGCAGCGCGGCCACCACAGCATCAAGGTCGGTCATTCTGCGCCCCAATTCCACAGTCGCTTGTCAAAAAAGCGTTGGCGCCGCTCTTCTCTCCATCAAAAAAAAATCAGGCAGGCTGAGCTTGGATTTAGAAACAAGATGCAGATCTGGGCGCCCGCATTGCAATGTCTGGGTGAGCCACCGCGGGTTTGCCCCTGCCATGCCCCTGTAGCAGAGGGGTCCTTGGGGGAACTTAGAGCGGGTTGGCAATAAAGAACATATGGTTCGTTGGAAAGAAAGAGTAAAGGAAAAGGAAAAAGGAAGAGAAAACTTTTTAAACAAAATTGAAAGCCAACTTAACGGCAGAACCTGCGACTCTCTAGTCTTACAGAAGTTCATTTGCAAGATTCATCTTTATATAAACACGATGGTGATCTGCCGCTGCCGGGGGAGTCTTGCAAATTAATCATAATGATAATAACAGTAATAATAATAATACATTCATCCTCGCTGCACGCGTTGATGGGAGTAAACTGAGGAGGAGGACTTGATCTCTAAAAGAGCCAGTTCCGGGACTGCCTGTGAGCGGAGGTCTGGCTCTGGTGTGTCTGTGTGGTTAGGGGGTAAGGAGAAAGGGCTTTCCTTAGCCTGGGGACTGCCTGACTAGGACCCGGAGCAGCCCGGGTCGCCTTTGTGTGGAGGCAGGCAGAGAGGTTGAGGGAGGGGAGAGCAGTTCGAGCAGTGAGCCAGAGAAGCGAGGTCTACAAACTTTCTAAGGACTGCTGACTGGAACAGGAAGGTAGACAAATGATCCTCCCGGGAACTCCTGTCCCAGGGAGACTGGACCTAAGTGCCCGCACTGTGAATCCTGCTCTAAGGGCTGACAGGGCGGTGGAGTAGGAAAGGAAAGCGGTGGTGATGTGGCGGGCGAGGTAACAGGCCTTTGCGCTGGCTGGAATG